GTTTTGCGTCATTGTGCATTTTGTCTGATATGGATAAAACTTACCAGGCTGCTGCTGGAGCTGTGAGTCAGGAGAACTCCACAGGAATGCAGGCCAAGGAAGCAATTTTATTGTCATCAAAGGAGAGTAAAGCTCTTAATGATTATAGCATTGAGTAATGTGAAGCAAGGATTCAGGAGTTGCTCCAAGTTATTAAGAACCCACCAAAAGACAGACAGATGGCCGATGTGTTAGGACAGCTGACTCTATTATATGAGCGAAGGGTCAGGTTGGAAGTTGACCAACGAGTTAAACTGCAGTTTATGCTGGATGATACGTTACAGACAATAGATGTCACTAGGTGTGAACTGTTAGAAATGGAAAAGAAGCTGGAAGCAGTTGATTTCAGAGCCAGAAGGTTGGAGGTTGCTGAGGGTAGCCCCAACACACCTCCATCCCTAGAGGACTGGGAGGTGGAGATAAATCCCGACTCACAGGTTGAAAGTGAGACACACCTGCAACACCCTGAAAGAACCTTCCACACAGAGCTGGAAAACGTAGAAGCTGCTCTCCAGAGATTTCCTTCCCAAGCTCGTGGTTTTCCACACACATCCACAGAGTCCAGAACAGGTATGAGTAGACAGATTAGATTCAGTGGTGCAGTGTCCCACCCCACTGTAGTAGACAGCCATGAACAATACCTGGCGGTGGACTCACTAGAAGTAAATAGTTCAAGGTATAGGGTCGAGCAGCCTTCACACTTGACTCGCAGTACCCTCCTCTACGATCCCTCACCTCCGCCAAGGCGATAGGAGAGCCGCCTCTGGGACTCAGGTGGTTCATACTGTCCTCAACTGCTGCCCAGGACCCGAGTCTATGGAGCACAGGGCCCACCATTGTACCATGAGCAGCCTCCAGTGCCTCCCCCAAGGGTGAAGCGTGATGCCCTGACACACGAGGGATGCAGCAGGAGTGAACCTTCAGATGATGACTCAGATGGGCCAGCACCAATCCCTGAAAGTGGATCGTGTACACCCCAACTTGAGTCTTGCCCAAGGCATAGAGCGTTTTGACCCTAATGATGAGGAATTAAACATTGATGATTATCTTAGGGAAGTCAAACGCTGCCTTTTAGACCTGTACTGCCCATCAGCACGGGAAAAGTTGAACCTCATCTGGAAAACAACATCCATGCTTTCATGGAGAGCCTGCCCTCTAGAGTCCGAGACCATTATTCAACCCTCTGTGAAGCTTTAAGGGAAGAATATTCTGTGTACATGGGCCGGGCCTCCGCAACACTTGGTGCTTTAGCTATCCAGCAAAAGAAAAGCGAAGCACCCAGAAAGTATTACTGGTGCCTGAGAGCTGCTTACTTCCAAGGACGTAATGCTCCCGGCATAGAGGAGGACGATGTTTTTAAATCATTATTCCTCCACAACCTTCATGAAAGCGTATGTTATGACATTACTATGTTACTATGTACTGTAGAGCAAAAACCCTAACTATGCAAGAGATCCGTAAATATGCTCAGATGCTGTGGGAAGCACGTGCAAGCCCTACTAATGGATAAGAAGGTGAGGCTAGAGTTTTACAGGTGCACACAGAAGAAGACAGTGGTGAGTTAGAAGGCCGGGAAATGCCTTCAAACAGAACCCATGTTAAGAACAGTTTAAGGGAACAACGTAAGTTTGGTCAGCTGGACCAGGGAGGTGGTACTGAGTACCACCCACAGTCAAAGTTGCCGGACCACTTCCGGTCGAACAGACGACCTGACCCTCACGTGAGGCCCAAAGGTAAGCCTGATGGTTAAGGTTGGAGTCAACATGCAGGATGGAACCTGAGGAGAGATATGGAGGATGCCTTCCACAAGATTCTGTCAGAAGCAGTGCACCAGGCATGTGACCAACCTTCACCATCATTAGAAGCAGCTGACCATCCGGTGAAAACGGATCCAAAACCCCCTTCAGCATGACTAGGCGTGGACCCAGTCTCCACAGCCATCAGAGTCTACCTGATCAGATGGAGAGACAAACCTGGGAAACTCCAAGAACCTCTTGGGATCTCTCCAGGAGAAACACCACAAACCATTTTTCTGAGGTGTTTACCTAAACTGAACCAAAATGAACATACATGTTACCTATACTGTCTCACCAGTGTAGGAGGACATGTCAAACTGAGTTCCATTTCAAAACAGGATCAGAGATCAGCCTGATGTGCTCACTCTTGTTTGAGGAGGTGAGTAGAGCCATGCTCTCCCTCAGTAAACCATTTCAGGCCGAAGCTTGTGATGTAAGCATCACCAGCCACACCCAAAACCGATCGTGCATTATTAGTTGGGTGGAGCTGGACATCACACTCAGAGACATGACTCTGGTGCACCCCATCTATATGTGTGTAGCCCAGTGTTACACCGAGGTTACTGTAATGACTAAGGTGAGGTTAATAGAAATCTTACATGGGTCAAAACAAGACTCAAATATACTAAAAGTAAATATTTATTTAGTAATGTATAACATTGGTGATAACTTTGGATTTCATATTCTTGTTTCTGAAAGAAATACACCAGTATTTTCCTTTACTTTAATATTTAAATAATATAAAGGGTAAAGGTAAGCTATTAAGTAATTGGCTTACTTAGTAATTAAGACTGTATTATTGGTAAATCAACTAAGAGCATTATTTTATGTAAATAGTGCAATTGAAAAGTATTGGTGTGACATAAGATGCACTGGGTATTTTATTTGGCTTTGCCCTTTTATTGGTCACTGAGACAATCCGTCAAGGGCGTGACTCGAGATTGGTAGAGAGAAGAGGAGGAGAAGAAAGAAGAAGAAGTAGAGGAGAAGAAGAAGGAGAGGAGAAAAATGTAGGGGAAGACGAGCGGACAGCAAGGGAAGGAAAACAGACTCGAGGTAGAGAAGACTGGACAAAAGCCCGGGAGAGGACAAAGTTCAGAAGAAGTTAGAGGAGCTTGGTTGCCGTGAGAGGGACGGGACCAGAGGAGACAGACGCAAGTAGTCATGACAAGTTTTGAGCTGAGCTAAGTGAGCTAGCTGCTTCAGCTTCGCGGGTTCGGCTGAGTTTAATGGAGGTCGGGGAGGGGATGAGTGAATTGCAACGCTCTCAATGTTTTCCTATGGGATTTCAACTCCTAGTTGTTTAACAGGCCTGCAACGTTTTCACACTCTCCTGGAGGTCGTGAGGAACAAACTGACTGGGTTACATTTGTTTAGGACTGTATATTGATATAATTGGACATTCCTTGTTTTGTTCTGGTTTGGTGAAAGGAAAAGGTGGCCATTAATATTTTATTTAACCGGCCTTATGCAAAGAGGTTTATGTTGTTTAAATCTTATCGAAGGGTCGTTCAACTATAGAGTTACAGTGGTGACAAAATAATAGATTCTCTGTCATTTTAGTTTAATAAAGTTAGGCCGAATCATTTTGCCTAAAATTGTAATGTTTCTCTGGGTGGTATTTGTCATGAACTAGATCATTGGTGGTGCACACCCATTGGGGTACCAGGTTGATATCAAATCCAAGCACCCTTCATTTTAGTTTTCTCGCATAAAATGGCTAGAGGTGCTACATGTGCACATTGAACACAGAGCCTTTTCTTGGTTGCCAGGACCTGCTGGACAGGCTTGCCCCTCTCATTGACTGCCACCAGGACCAACTCTGGGTCCAGGTGGAGGTGCCAAAACCCCTGGATGCAAGCAGCAAACCATCCTTTGTGACCAACAAGGTTGCCAGCTTAGAGGAGCCCAAAGAACCCCTCAGGGCCTCGTTGGTGCCAGACATGGGCACCTCTGTGATACAGCTGCACCAGCCACCCAGAAAACTCCTCCCAGATGCACTTATGCATCATTCTTTGCTCTTTAAAGAACCCAGGTGTGAAAACTTACCACCCCAAAGTGGTGGAAGGTGTACACCTGGAAACCATGTTCATACTAGAAGTGCTTCTAGCATTCTGGCTGGGAAAAACAGTAATCAGTAGAGAGCTGTAGGACCGCTTGTGCCAAGAAGATCCCCTTTTAACTGAGGCACAACACAGCCACACACTCCTCTTAGCAGACGGGCTCTACCCTCTCCTTAAGACAGCCAGAGTGGGCACCTCCAGTGTGCAGATTGGCATAAAACAGCTCTCTCGCTTTCAGCATTGTTCCAACAGACCAAAGGGGGCTCACATTATCCCCCTGTAGGGGGCCATAGGAGCTACAAAACCACACTCCACACCCTCCAACAGATGGTGTACTGGCCTCCAACGTCTCACGACACTCAGGTCTACATCCAAGCATGCTTAACCTGCTGCCAGTTTAAACCGTCCCAACCACTCAGTCAAGGGGGGTTACATTACTTTGGTTCCACCTTCAGACCAACTGGGTTGAACCAGCTCCAAAATTAGCAGGAGGTAACAAATTTCTCCTAACTGTGACATGCAGCTGCATTAAGTCAGTACCAAATGGCACCGTCATTGAGCCTGCTGCTCTTTTGCTGAACCAGATGAAGTTCTACATCAAACTCACCTCCCCAAGAACAGAGCTTGTCTCCATATCCAGGAAAGGAGAGACCAGTGCGTAGGACCAGTTTAATTAGGTGCATGCTTCAAAACTCACATTAACATGCACTAACCACTAACAACTTTCTCCAACAGGAACTGTTAAAAATATAACTACCTTTCAGGTAGAGACAGTGTTAAACTGCAAGTTGCATGCTATTTTTCCACTAACACTCAACTGGTGGAGAGAATAAATCAACGTAAAAGTCAGTCATTTTCTACCGCTTATTCCATAGTGGGTCACGGGGAGCTGGTGCCTATCTCCAGCAGTCTATGGGCGAGAGGCAGGGTACACCCTGGACAGATCGCCAGTCCATCGCAGGGCAACACACAAACAACCACGCACACACTCATTCATACACCTAAGGGTTATTTAGAGTAACCAGTTAACCTAACAAGCATGTCTTTGGACTGTGGGAGGAAGCCGAAGTACCCATGCAACATGCAAACTCCATGCAGAAAGACCCCCGGCCAGGAATCGAACCCAGGACCTTCAAGGCAACAGTGCTTCCAACTGCGCCACCGTGAGTACTGCCATTTTAAATTATATTTCTTGATAAATATTAATCAATCAATAATCATAGTCCTTACACTTGGATTAACTAATGGTGGTCCTAATTCGCCTTAACTATTCCTCATCCTGCCCAGATGTGTAAATACACCTGTCCGATTTAATATAAAAATAATTAAATTACTTTGACATCAATTTCTTCTCTTCACCGGCTTGTGGATGGTCCGTGGGTCTGAAGAAAAAACAGGGGGAACCAGAGTGTCACGTATCTGTGATCAACTCAAAACGGTAAACTTCTCATACGTCAAAAACGCAGAAAATATGAGGAACTGTTACAGACGACTAAAAAAAAGAAGGAGGAAACTCATCTCCATGGAACAAACCCTCTGTGGGGTTACCTGCGCCTGGGTACATCTAACGGTCTTCAATCGGGGAATACGAATCTTCTGATCTTGTTGTTTCAGACAGATTTCCAGCTTTCAAGTGTGGAGGAAAAGTAAACCAAGATTGCCCCTGAGCGTATTGTTTCACTACTGCTGGGAAATGGCGGCTAAAAGTTTGTTTCCTCACTTTCTATAAGTTCTGATGACACCCGTCGCTGTGGCGCATGTCGAGCTGCGCAGCCCAGTTGTCCATCCGACCAAAATGGATGACCCAACAAAACGATGGTCCTCCATTTCATTTGTAAGGTCCCGCAAAATATGAGAAACTTCTAAGCCTGAAATTTTTGGTACATTATATGTCTTATTCATTAACTCTTATGTCCGCAGTTGCGCACCATGAATAATTTTGGCGCATGCACTGTACCTATTATGGTAGCTGTCATGTTATGATCCAACTGTATCAATGAGAGAGTTGATTACATCCGAGGAGCAACAATGATTGGTTTAACTTGGTTTTCAGTGTGGTGAGGGACCAGAAAGGGTCACACAAAGCTAAATGGAGAGGGTAAAGTAAAAAGCAAATGCAACTGCAAAAAGGATTTAAAAATGCAAGGTGATAAAGAAAATGGAAATGGCAAAAGGAATGACCTTTTTAAATGTTTGATAAGGAAAGGTATTTATAATCAAATTTATAAATTGTGTTTTTTAAATCTCCATTTAGAAATAGGATTTGAAAATACATTTCAAATTGCAATATTTAAAAATGGATTACAAATACAATTTACAATTCCTCTTTAACAATTCAATTTAAAATGTGCAATTACCAAACTCTTTTCAAATTGGATTTCTAATTGTATGATTTAAATGTTACATTTGAAATGGTTGTATTTATTTTTCAGTGACTCTCCTTGTCCTCCATAGTAGCCTGCTTCTCACCCAATAATTACATGGCATGCAATTATTGGGACGATCCTGCAAAGAAAACTGGGTGTAGAACTGTAAACTGAATTAATGGAATTCTAAACATATAATGTTTGATTGATTTAATAATTGCTCACCCGTCACCATGTTATAGGATCATAGGATAAGTGATGCACATTGATTTTTTCTAAAGACAAAAATAACTACACAACAGTGTACCAGTTAACAGGTAAATACATTAAATGCATTTAAATACACCTATACTTATAACTGATTCTCATTTTTCTTGTGTTTTTTTAGTTTTACAAGGACCACGCTCAGTCTGTCTGTATGAGATGTGTACTTTCAGCCCAGAGGACAGTTTAGAAGGATAAGGCAGCAAACTGGTGACCACAAAAGTCCTTATCAGCATTTTTCCTCCCCATTTTAGCCCCCTTTCTCTCCATTTCCTGATCCTGCTGCCGTGTTAGTACAACAGCTTCAGAGGTTACCACTCAATTAAGCTTGGCTCTTCATTTACGGCCATGACAAAGACTCTCTTCCGTCTCTGTTCTTCCCCTCTCTCTGGCTTTCTCCTCCAACCGAACTTGTAATTACAGTGTTGGACAGCACGCTCCACAGTGACCCAGCGTAAAATATGACTATCCATTTGGCTCTTATCCCTTCATCGCTGTTCCTCTTCTTCCGATTGGACCGGTGGCTGCTGCTCACCCCCAGCACCATCTCATCACGGCCGGCCATTTCACCCTCGCTTCACCTCACCTCTCTCAGCTGCCATGCGGCGAAGCGTCAGGATGAGGAATATGGCTAAGCACTATCTCCTTGTAATGAGTTACATTCTCTTTTAACCCCAGACAGATATCCACTTGAACTTACTGGTGCAAATCATCTGTTTTTCTTTTTCTATCCCCATTTCATACTCTGGCCTAAATCCTGATGACCACCTCACTTTAAAACCACATTCACTAAATTAAAATATAAAAATATAGAGTAAGTCTATTCAGCAGTTGGTGGTGCAGGCGTTTGTGTAATGGGTTGATTGATGGGTGCAGAATGTGGTGAAAATGGGTGTAATGATGGGTGTAATGTATGTATATATCTATATATCTATATATATAGATATATATATATCTATATATATATGCATTTATATATATATATCCTGGTTAGGGTCAGCATACATTCTATTTGGCAAAGCTGTTGATCGTTGATTTTATGCTTTAGGTGTTTATAATCAGATAAGAAAAACTGAGTTTTTCAGTGGTTAGTTTAAGTTCAATCTAGTAAATTATTGTTACAAATGGAACCAAAACAGAGAAAATAAATCATTCTAGTTAAAACACTTTTATTGTAATGCAATTTAATCATTTCCCATTGCATCATATTGTATCATGCCAAACATTAAAATGACATTTCCTACTATCACATGCAAATATACTAGTTTGAACTATATGCACTGCTATTTGCATAAACATAAGAAGTCAGATTAGTGAATCATCATTATGCATCCAAATTTCCTGCTTATACCTGTTCCTGTCACCTTGTACAACATTCTATTACCAACAGGCAGCGCTTGGTCTTCTATACCTTTCAAATAGTTGGTGTGGAAGGAGAGAGGGACCTTTTACCATTCCTTTTTAAAAAATGTCTCTGATTATGTTTAAACAATTATTTATTAACATGGAGATTGTTTCCCTGCTGAATAATTGCACTCATACCTGGAGTTTGGTTTCTCTACATTTTTAAAAGACAGATTTTACTTTTGTCATAAAATATGAATTAATTTCAAGGTTTTTAACACGTCATATTTGGGGTTCCAATAAAAAGTTGCCAAGTCTTTTATTTTCTATAGCTTTTTCCTTTCAGGGATCCCTTCAGAGGGGTTATCTATTTCCATCTAACCCTATCTTCAGCATCTTCTTTTCTCACACCCACTACCTTCATGTCCTCTTTCATTTCATCCATAAGTCCCTGTTTGGACTTTCTCTTACCCTCGGCAGTTCCAGCAGCATCCTTCTACCAATGTACTCACTATCCCTCCTCTACATGTCCAAACCATCTCAGTCTATCCTCTCTGGCTTGTCTGGCTTTGTGAGCTTCAGTTGTTCCTAGTTAAAAAGGTAAATGTAGGTGGCATGCATTCTTCTGAAGCAGGATGCAGAGCTGCATAGTTAAGGGAAGACATGCTAGTTACTAAGAAGACCAACAAAGAGCTGAGCCTTTTCCCACAAAGATGTAGGATGAGTGTTGCCAATCCAGATGTCCATAGGACATGTCGCTCCATATGCCCTCATCGGTGGGAAGTGGAGGTGCTCCCAGGCCAGCTAATCAATCACTGAGGCCTCCTTGTTTGCAGAGGTCATCACAGCACATCAGGGCAAGGTGCAGGGTGCAGAGCACCTAGCCAATAAACCCAATTTCAGCAGATCTCCACTACATAAGTTTGCCAACAGCTTATGGTAGTGCTGAATATGGGATGTGGGTGTGGGGGGTGGAGGTGGAACAAAAATTGCAAATAATTATAAAATAGGTTCGTAAAGACGTGGTCAGACCTGATCAAATCTGCGAGAATCCTGCTGTGTCTGCAGCAGTAAACTACTGATCCAGATATACTTTATGTTTTATTAATGGAAATATTGTTTTATTCCCTAAAACCTGTCTTCAGTATGAGATTCTTAGAAATTGAGTAGTTGTGGCCAGTCACATTTTTATACATATACATAAAACTAAAAGCAAGGGCACCACATCTAGATTTATCTAGGAGTTCAATGAAGGAGTACAGATTTTTTCAGTGTGGTTGTGTTTGCTCAAAGGACATGATTGCTGATGTTTTTTTCTGAAGAATTGGGTGTTTTATGTTAAGTTTTATGATCATAAACTCACTGTGACTTTAAATTAAACTAACTTATGTGAGTCATCTCCAGACCCAGAGTCTACAACACTTTTAGCAATGTGTTCTCAAACTTAAGGTCTTTACACATTACCATTAAACATGCCAACATCTTGGGGTTTGATTTACTGAGAAAATCTTGTCACCTCATGTTGGTGAACAAATTCCCTTGTTGGTTTGAACCTTTTCTCCAACAAGAAGTTCACATGCAGGCTCATCTGCCTGCCACTGCTCTCAGTGTCATGTCCATCTGGCCTAGCAGGCGTAATAGCCCTACTAATCCCCAAATAATAGCAGCAGGACTGGGAATGTCACCGAGGAACAGTGGCCCCACAGACCCAAAAAATCAATAGTTTATGCCCCTCATGGGGATCCCTGCTATCTAAGGGGATGTCAATACTGTCGATTGGATATTAAAGAATATTTCATTAGCATGTGTGACAGCCAAAGCAAGAGAGAATATATGCTAGGGACCATGAAAGGAGTCCATGGACGTGTGGGGTAGCCTATTGGTATTTAGGACCCCTGAGGGAGCTCACAATGTAATGTGCCATCCCTCAGGACTGTCAGAAGACACCCTGACAAACTGTGTTATCTGACATCACCACAGTATTGGTTTTGGGTTAGCAGGATAAGAGATGAAAGATGCCTGTTTTTTTTTAGATTTTTTTTTGCGGCACTAGTGGCCTTTATTTTTCGGTACAGTACAGTATAACTACTGATTGTCATAATGGAGCATTTCTTTAAACTCTGAGTAGAACACAACCACAAATTCAGGGTATCATTTTAACAGATTTATTTTGTGAAGAAAATTGAATGGAGGC